CAACAGAAAAACACGGTGCCAGTGATCCCCGGCAGCAAGAGAAACAAGAACATGCGGTAGTCTAGCAAGAAATAGAAAAGGCATTGCCGCCGTCATCACCCCTCCCAAGCTAGAGTCGCAAAACGTTGTTGTAGACAATCGGGAAGTTATCATCTTAAGGCCCCGTAAGACTAGCGCATCAGAACAGCAACCGCAATCGATGAAGAGATACGCAGATCGGAAGGACCCAACTTGAAGACACACGCAAACACAAGCACCGACCGAATCATGAGAGTTTCATTGGAGCCACACCTCCACACGCCCTCCGACGGTACTAGACGAACCACCAGAATGGGGGCTAGGTGGGGAAAACCTTATTCCGTCTTGGCTTCAAGGAGTCGCCATCGTCTCGTCTTACTGAGCAGGATACAAACCCTAACAAAACAAAAAAATTGTCTAAAAATGAAGCCCTCTTACCGGCAAAGGCTAGGATCCACCACGCCCCCATGGCCCTAGGGCTACCGGAGACGAGGTGGACCCACGGCGGCGCCGGTGGGAGACGAAGGAACCCAGCTTTTTTGGAGGAGGCGGCAGCGGCTGCATAAGCGACTACATATATATTCACATGTCTTCTAATTTTTACCAGCTCAACGTCTTAGCATGGCATCATAGGAAAAGTAAATCTATAGGTGAAGGTACAAACCAGTGAAGGATCCACCTCTCGTCCCATTGTGAAGATTGGTGCAGCCAATCCTGGTATAATGTTGTGAATGTTTGCTGAGATTGGAGTGGCACATGAAGCTGCAGTGGCGTAGTCCATGGATCACCCTGTAATTTGGCCCATTACTTCTCTATATAGTATATGCTAATTAACAAAAAAAATAATTATCTTTGCTTGCATCGGCCAGGGCCCAAGCCCAAAATACAAGGACTGCAGCTGATCCGATCGCTAGGCTTTGTCGTTGAAACCTCCTATATGCCGCTCGTTGCGGCAAAAGGTCGGGGTTTCGCACAGGGGCGGCTAACCTGGGCCGGCTCCTTTACAGTGGCACGCGACGGCATCATGTTCGCGAGATGGAAAAAACAAAAAACAAAAGTGAGTGCTCTATGATTCGATCCCACGACCTCCTTGCAAATCGTGACCTGCACTAGCCGCTGCGACAGAGAAACGTTTGCGAAAATTTTGCAGCACCACACTTGAAAAAGCAAACGACAGCGGCAAAAAACAACGGTTCCTTCAAATTCCAAGCATGTAAAGTTCGTGACAGGACTCAAACCGACGACCTACTACAAGTGATCAACGTCACTAACCACCGTAATCCCTAAAGATTAGTGTCCAAAATGGCAACCCAGTTTATATGAACTTTTTTTTTTTGCAATTTCAAACGTGATTTTCTTCTTTGATATTTCTCAACAAATTTTAAAACTCTACCAATTTGTGAAAACACAGCAATTCTTGGGAATCTCCAAGCACATTTTCAAAAAAAGGAACAAATTTGGAAACACGAACATTTTTCAAAATTATGAACAAATTTTCGAAAAAGAGGAACAAATAATGGTAACACCATTTTTTTTGAATTTACAAACAATATTTGCAAAACCCGAACATAATTTTAATTGGCGAACAAATTTTTTAAATAAGAACCTTTATTGAATTTGTGAACAAATTCAGAAAGCAG